ATTATACATGTTTTAATTCCCTTTGCAGGCCACTTCAGCACTGGTTCAGATAGAAACATTGCATTATTAGAAGATGTTTTCCACAAATTTCCACACATAGCTGTAAACATTGAAGTGAAAGAAAATAACAGCATGCTGATTGAGAAGGCAAGAGAGCAATCATCACACCCAATGATAAAACATATTTACCTACATCAATTTACTAAGCCTCCGTCTTTGTTCTTTTATCCTCAATAATCTTTTTCAGATTTCTGATCTTGTGAAGAAATACAACAGAGGGGCCATCTCAGTTTGGGCCTCTGTTGACTCCACCATCATGGAAAATTGTCGCAAAACAGTGCGTGTGCATTTATGTCCCACTCTACCTGTTTTGTTTCAATAATAAATCACCCACATACTTTCCTGTTTCTTAGGGGGAAGTCGTGGCCTAATGGTTAGAGAGTCGGACTCGTAACCCAAAGGTTGCGGGCTTGAGTCTCGTACTGGCAAGGATTGTAGGTGGGGGGAGTGAATGTACAGCACTCTCTCCCACCTTCAATACCACGACTGAGGTGCCCTTGAGCAAGGCACCGAACCCCCAACTGCTCCCCGGTTGCTGCAGCATAAATGGCTGCCCACTGCTCTGGGTGTGTGTTCACTGCTGTGTGTGTGTGCACTTAGGATGGGTTAAATGCAGAGCACTAATTCCAAGTATGGGCCACATGTCACTTACATCTTTAGTTCTGTCTCCTTTGTTGTCAATGGCAGAACTCCTCCATGCCCTACATGTTCACTGTAAAGCAGGCTTTAAAGCTGCTCCTGCTCTACTACACTGGTCTTCTGCCATTCGTTCCACTCGGAGAGAGTTTCCTGCAGTTCTACTTGCCACAAATCATTAACAGGTCTGTATACACCAAATATTTCCATACTATGTTCTGTGCATGGCAATCACACAGATGCATTTTCACTAATCTCTTTCCTACAGAGAATACATACCTGAAATGTGGATTCTGAGAAGAAGACTGGTCATCTTCTTAATAGAAAGGTAACTTGTCTTAGTAGTAGTATCAGACTATCCTTTTAATTAACCTTTTCTCCTTTGATTGAAATGTTTTTTTTGTGTTTTAAATGTTTCTCTGTCAGACTAACATTGAGAAAAGGGATGTTCAAGCACCTTAGAGACAGAGGAATTCAGGTGTGTGGCCATGCTATATCATGTTTTTTGTGTTATTAAAGGAATAGTTCACCCAAAAATTACATTTGCTGAAAATGTACTCACCCTCAGGTCATCCAAAATAATTTTTTTTTTTTCATCCGAACAAAATCTGAGAAATCAGCAGTACATCACTTACTCACCAATGGATCCTCTGCAGTGAATGGGTGCCGTCAGAATGAGCGTCCAAATAGCTGATAAAAACATCACAATAATCCACAAGCAATCTCAAAGCTCCAGTCCATCAAATAACATCTTGTGAACCAAAAAGCTGTGGGTTTGTAAGAAACAAATCCATAATTTAGATGTTTTTAAGTTCAAGACGTTGCTTCTAGCTAAATTTTGAGTCTTCCATATCCATAATCTATCCATAATATTGCTTTCTCCAGTGAAAAACTAATCTGTTCTAAATCAGGAGAGAAATAAACACAGATCAAGCACTGTTTACAAAAAAACTAAACAAATATGTTTGTGAGAGGACAACAGGATGGATATTTTCACTGGAGGAAACATTGTTATGGACTATGGCCTTGTATTTTGGCCAGAGACTAAGTAAAACACCTTATTGATGGATTTGTTTCTTATAAACACGCAACTTTTCAATTCACAAAACTTTAAATGATGGACTGGAATCGTGTGGATTATTGTGATGTTTTTATCAGCTGTTTGGACTCTGACGGCACCCATTCACTGCAGAGGATTCATTGGTGAGGAAGTGATGTAATGCTAAATTTCTCCAGATCTGTTCCGATGAACAAACAAACTACATCTACATCTTGGATGGCCTGAGAGTGAGCAAATGTTCAGTGAATTTTCATTTTTGAGTGAACTTCCTTTACGAAACAGCATATTGAGTAACTTGAATTTTCAGTGAGAAACTGGTCTCAGGTTGTGTGTGTTCATACATGCTTCAAAATTATGAAAAAGAAATGTTCTTCCTCCCTCTTTCTCTCTTTAGATTCATCTCTTTGTGTGTAATGAGGAACAGGATATTGAGGCTGCGTTTGCTGCAGGAGCAACAGGAGTCATGACTGATTATCCCACGCTGTTATCAAACTATATTAGAAGACACACACAAGACACCTGATCAAACACAAATACACAATGTGCTTCACTCTTGTCTAGTCAAACACACACAGACTGTCCAAATGCTGTTTGCCTTTAAACATACAGCCAAGTTTATATCAATGCCATTATTAGCTTATCAGCACTGGCAGTATTTACATGAAACGGTTTATGGCATTCTTCATGGGACATTTCATAAGTATGAAAACACATAAAAAATAAATGGAACTCATATATTCTAAGTGGACTGCTTTCTTCGCTCGCAACATTATTATCCCACCATGTTGATTGTTTATTGTGGTTTTCAGTCAGTCGGTGTCAGTTTAGCGCCTCCCTACCTATGTTTGCAAACAAACACTATCCAACTTCTTTGAGAGGCCGTGCAAAGTCCATCAGCTGTACCCAACAGGGGATCAAAGCCTGAATTGCCTTGTCCTAGCTGAAACGTTTTAACCTGTTTTTATACAGTCTATGTTTTTAACGCAACTGTAAATTCAGGTGTCTTCAACCCCATAGACTGTCAAACGCACGGGAAGAGCGCCTCTGATTGGCTGACCTATATTCCAGACGTCTCTGTCTGGATTCTGATTGGTCAGTGACTGTTTGTTTTGCGCCACATGACGTATAAGAAACTTCCTCAGAAAATAAAGTAAACAAATCTGCGGATTATATTCGGTCGCGACATATTGAGCACGGCGGCTTGCGTGAATTTAGGAATTTAGGATGCTTTCGGTTGACATCACACGGTTTGCGCATTAGAGCAGGTCGACGGGAGGGACACAAAGGAGGGAACTGTAGAAAAAGCGCAGAAGCGTGCCGCACGTTCGTTTGGTTGAGTGCGCTTGACTACTGAATGCTCAGGCTTCATGCCGTTGAGTTGAGCACGCTTCTCTTCTGGCGACAATACTGCGACCAGCGTTTGTCTTGAAGAAATCGTTCATATTTAGGTGAGAGCAGTTTCATTATTAGCATGTCAAATGGGGCGAGGAGGCTAGAAGCAGTTCTAATGAGAAACGGCTCTACTCTTGGCTTTAGAGCTTGTACACTATGGTGCAATTGTTACTTGTATATGTAGAGGGTGTTAAGTCGAAACGTTAATTTACGCGACTGGCATATACGTGCAAATAGCCGCGTTCGTCAGTGCAATATTCTAGTAGTGAAGGGGGAAATGAACAAATTCCGCGAATCGGTTCTTTCGAACAGTTCATTTCAAAAACGATTCGGCGGTAATTTTGAGCTGTGTCGTTATTGCACTGGTCCCTGACAACCTGACTTTTCGCTTGTAATGTATTTATTCATTTATTTGGCCTACATAAGGCATAAAAAAGTAAATATAAAAAAACCTAAGTATAATTTAATTTTACATTAAATAATACTAAAAGTAATTTGCATATCTTGGCCGAAAACGTTTGTCTGAAAGTTCTTTGTTGATAAAATTAACATAGAGAAATAAACTAGGTAAATAAAAATTTATTTACTATTCTGCTAATTATGTATTTTAATTTTGCCCCATCAGTCAAATCCTGTTCAACTGAATCGTTGAAAGCACCCGACTCATATGAACGATTCGTTCACGATTTTCCAGCTGCATTGTGGGCCGTGCTGGAACGTTGTAGTCCATAAGAACAGAAACTAGAATCGTGAGTGTGTCTGCGGAAATTTAGTAGGCTAACTTTTGAAATATTTTATAACCCAATAATATAAATAAAGCTGTATTTATTACAGCATGCCATAGTTATTAATACCTTTCACCACTGTTTACCCTCGTGCCTGGCATGCCATATATGGGGTAACTACAGTGTGGGCAGCCAAGCAAAGTAGGTCATGTGGATGTTTCCTTTTTTCCTGCTATATATCTGAAACCGGGTGCAAGATTTGCAGCGATATTAAAATGCTTTTCAAATACACAATTTAAAAGATTGCTGTAAATGCCACGTCCATCATGCATAAAATCTCAAAGCATTTAGTCTGCTTTGAAAATCACAATGTTATTGGCTGATGATGTCAATGCCATGCTTTCTAACTACGCATTTGGCAATCCCGCCAGAAGCTGTTTTGGCTGTCAAAGCTGCTTTGTAGCAATTTGTTATCCTTGCAGATATGATCTTGACACTGTTTTTGTGTGTCTTCAAAGACATGGTGAAGCAGACCAAGGCCAAAACTTTCCAGGCCTATCTGGACTCCTGTCACCGCCGCTACAGCTGCGTCCACTGCCGTGCACACCTGGCCAACCATGATGACCTAATTTCTAAGGTGAGTTATATTTGTGAATTGTGATGCTGTTTGCATTAAAGACTCACGTGTCTGTCTATTTTCAGTCGTTTCAAGGCAGTCAGGGCCGTGCCTACCTGTTCAATTCTGTGTGAGTATCACTTCTGGTAAAAAATCTCAGAGCTTGAATCACATTGTGATGGAAGAAATAGTTGGTTTAACTGTCATTTTGTGATTTCAGGGTGAATGTGGGTTGTGGCCCAGCAGAAGAAAGGCTGCTGCTGACCGGTCTTCATGCTGTGGCTGATATTTACTGCGAGAATTGCCACACCACACTGGGCTGGAAATATGTAAGCATGCTTTGTTTTAATAAGAAATGTAGTAGGACACACTTTTTTTTTTTTTTCTCCCCAAAATGGCTTTATTTATTTCATTAACCTGCAGTCTGATAACTTTTTTCCCCCCTCTTTCTCCTTTCCTCTACAGGAGCAGGCATTTGAGTTAAGTCAGAAGTATAAGGAGGGGAAGTTTATTATTGAATTATCTCACATGATTAAGGATAATGGCTGGAACTGAAGCCTTCAGCCTTTGCTTTAACTTTCTGTGAATTCTTTACATTAAAGTATGGGGTAAATGAAAACTACTGTTTGTTTTTGTTTTTTTTATATATCTTTGAAATTTGGTTGGGAAGTTGTGTACTTTCTAATATTCTTTTATGTTAAAAATGATACATTATAAACAAAGTACACGGTACAATACTAAACAAGGATCATTTACATATTTCATTATATATATATTTTTTTAGATAACAAATTTAGTATTTTTAGAATCCTGCAAGAGCGCGAAAAAAATCTCAAATAAATTAATGGCGCTTTTCACGAGTGCAAAGGGCATAACTCCGAAATGATTAATCATTAATGGTTATATAATGCTCTACAGACGACGTTGTTTATAAATAAACTAGGCGGAAACAAGAAACCGCCTTTCTGCCTTAATTATCAGAACCACTTCGAGTGAACGCAATAATAAAGACTACAACTCCCACAACTCTTTGCGCACATCGGTGACGTGGCCAGCGTTACCCAACAGACCGGGGCGATTTGAACTTCATTTTAGATGTAACTCATTTTCTGTTTCATTTCATTCGTTTCAAACTATTTTACCTGTGGATTTTACTTTGTAGGTAATAAAACATAAGCTGCTTTATTACAGCCCGTAATTTTACATCATGATGTCCGGGAAAATCAAAAGCAAGAGTGCTGCAAATGCCGACTCAATATCTGGCAGTGTGTCCTGCGGCGAGCGCATCTTACGGGACTGCCACCAGATGTACATCGATCAGGATAGCGGTAAGAAACCGTTCCCTTTAGAAAGGATTGAGTTACATTCTCATTGATTTGCTTGGTTTAGTAAGGCATTAGATTTGTCTCTAGGCGTGGTTAGGAGGTGCTAACGGTAGCCGGTGAGCTAAAATGCCGGTTGGTATGTGAAGTAAGTTGCACTTCAGAGGGCGAAAAGCAGTTCACTTGTTTGCTTTCATAACTGCAATCATTAGATTTACCGTTTAATCCGTTACTTTGTACTCCAAGTGATACGAAATAAAAGTATATATATAGATATATATATATATAGATATATAAAAAGTTAAAAAAAAAGTTTTTAGTGCATCACGTTTAAATTGTATAAAGATTTCTTGTGCCGTGATTGTCACTCAGTGGGTGATGTTAAAGGATAGTTCACACAAAAATGATGTTCTGTTACTGAACCTGAAACCTACTCACCCCTGACACGTTCTTTCCAGTCTAGTTTGTCTAACGACTCTTTCCTTTGTCCTGTAGGACTAATAACAATCGCTCAGACTGTTGGGGTGACCTTGCTGCCTCCCCGGAAAAAGATAACTGTGATGTTGATGGGGAACCACTCAGCTGGAAAGAGCAGCTTTATCAATTGGTATGCTGATATACAGGCATGAAAACGGACACTACAAGCATGCACTCAGATTGCTGTTTGTGCTAGACTGAGAATGTGAGAACAGTTGGAGTTCAAACAGTAACCCGTGCGTTTATTGCTTTGCAGGTATGTGGAGGAGCATATCCAAAGAACAGGGGTCGCTATAGAGACACAGGGCTTCAGCTTTGTTACAAGTGGGCGAAAGAGGGAATCGCTCACGGTAAATATGACCCCATGCATGTCACATTAAAGTTTTGTGTGACATGGTTTGGGTATGAAATTGGCATCACTGATGATCAACATCTTTCACTTCTTATTGTATAACAACTGTTGTCTTGGTTTTAGGGAAATGCAACGCTCCATCTCTATCCCCATTTCAAACCACTGCAGGAATTTAAAGGTTTGTTGATGAATTGCACTTAAAAAAAAGCTACAAGCTTATTGAAGCGGTGTCTAAAGCGTAACTTTCTCTCAATTTCAGGGCTGTCAGAATACCTCGGCACTGAGATTTGTACTTCACGACAGAAACGTTTCAGTTTGGTGACCTTTGTTGACACTCCTGGTCTGGTGGATGGGGATATGAAGTACCCCTTTGATGTGGACCAAGCTATTCTGTGGCTCGGTGTGTGTTTGTCTTGAAGTGTTTTGTATGTTCCGGAGTTGGCATTGTTGTAATGTTGATTTTAAGTCTAAATTTACTATTATAAATGTCTGTTTATGATCCTAATAAGTGTCCCTGTATTCTGATTCTGTCTGTCTACACCAGGTGAGCTCTGTGATCTGATCCTGGTCTTCTTTGACCCAATGGGACAGGCTTTATGCAAGCGCACACTCAACATTGTAGAGAAACTTAATGAGAAGCAAGGGGACCGTCTCCGTTTTTATCTCAGTAAAGCGGATGAGGCTGGAGGAGAGTCTGATCGACAAGTAAGATGCTCTTATACATGCTTATGTTCACCGTTCTAAATCTTATTTTGATGTTTGATCAATAATGCAGTAAAAACAGTAACATTGCGAAGTTATTACATATTATAACTTTATTTAAAAATGTTAGAATATTAAATATCAATATCTTTAAAAATCAGTGTATTCCTGTTAGGGTTGTGACGGTGAGGAAATTTTCCCACCAGTTAATCGACATGTGACAACACCGGTAATACCGGTATCACCGTGGGCGCGGGGCGTTCCCTCTTTTCCTCGCCTTCCTTCACTTTTAAATAGCTTAAAAGCGCCGTGCGCATTTTACTTTCACTTCTGAATTAACGGCAGTTCGGCGTCAATTGCTTGAATGCAACAACAAAATGCAGCGTCAAACTCACTTTAGCATATATATAAAACATGGAACTTTTATTAACAAAACAAATAAAAATACACCATGCTATAGGGCAGGCTATGCCTAATATAAAATTACAAATAACTTGCATAAAGTTTAATAGGTATACAAAACTGGAAATAAGTAAACATGTATAATATATAACCAAATAAATAAGAAATGTAGAACGTTTATTAGCAAAATTAATGTCAAATAAAATAAATGGCACAAAGTTTAAAGTAAAAATTGGCAAATAATGTGGAACCAATTAAATAAGAAACGAATGTTTAAAAAAAATTCCAGAATCACCTTAGATAAATGGCAAAAGTCAACAGGCTTTTCAAAATCCAAAATATTGCCAAACAGGCGCTTTTGCATCTCGTTTCTAAACTAAATCATCCGAGATCGTCTTGTCTGTCACATCCCACTCTTCTTGACAGTCAGCTCGACTCACTCTCCTCACTGGAGAAATGAAATCTGATCTGTGTGATGCGACTGTCGTTCGGCACGCTGCACTGAGCAGCCGCGTTCAGTTTTTAATTGTAGTGTCTGTTCTTTTACTGAACTAAATTTATTACTATAAAAAATCAAAACAATGGTGGGGGTCGGTGTTGCGGCTTAACACCGGTATCACCGTCAGCACTGTCTATCGCGGCAAGCCTAATTACTGTGATTTTGAGCTGTATTTGCTGATTCATATTTTTTTAAAGAAATCTTTTGTAACATTTGTAACTCGCTATACTGACGGTTTTGATCAATTTATTGTGTCATTGCTTAAGTATTAATTTATTTCATGTGACACTGCTAAAAAGAACAGTATGTTGTGTATTTGGTCTAATGCAATGCGTTTATGCGGTTTAAGGTTAAAAAAATACATTATTTTCCACATAATGTACATTTATTGTTGCTCCTCTATGCCCCGCCTTTCTAAAACTCGTCAATTTTTACAAAGCTCAGCTGTCTGAAAAGCGAGGTGTGCTGTGATTGGCCAGCTATCCAGTGCGTTGTGATTGGCTGAATACCTCAAGCGTGTGACGGAAATGTTACGCCCCTTACCATACTGTGATGCCGGTGTTCTGACAAATAATGCTACCTATCAGATTATGCTACCAACACTCTATTTATCCCACTGTAAGGGGTAGGTTTAGGGTTGGGGTAGGTGTACATGTTAATAAAGCCTCACACCGTATTAATATCATTACTATTATTATTTTTCTTTCTGTTAATACGTGTACTATTTGTAAGCAGTCCAGCTGCAATTGCTTTGGCAATACAAATGTATAATTTTTGTCATGCCAATAAAGCACTCTTAAATTGAAAATTGAATTGAGAGAGTTGCCTACCTGCGCCTCTCTAGTAGGCTATTTAATCCATTTTATTAATAAAAGTCACGGGGCAGCATTCTCAAGAATGGTTTCCTCCTGAATGTTTGTACACGTGCGCAGCAGTATTATTCATAAGATTTTTTTTTTCACCATGTTTCCAAATTCTCTACCCCAGGTCCAAAAGAAATGTAAAGAATGTACAAACTGAAAACATTAAATACTTTTGTGATCTATTTCCATTTGTTATTTTCAAAAGAGAAATACTGTCATGGATGTTTACAGAGCAGAGGTCACCTTTTTTAATTCCAGTGGAAGGGTTTTGTTTATTATTATTTTGTGCTGTATTGTTGGTTACTGTGTTATTTCTGTTTCAAAAGCCAGCAAAAAAAAAAAAGAACACTTTAATATCTAAAGAGTGTTCATGTGATTTTTATACATTAGTAATGTTGTGAAATGAATAAATGCATAATAATCGTATAACTGTGATTATTCCTCAGACTATAATCGTGCCAACAAAATCTAAAATCGTTGCATCCCTAATCCGTTTTAATTGGAGGTAGCAAAATCTGACAGGGTAGCACAAATCGTCAGAACACCGTCTCCCGGCACGATGAGACAACACCAATAAAACCCATTACAAACGAGGCATTTGTTGCATCCAGTGGGGACATAATTACTGATTATAATGACTTATACTGTCTTTTTACGCTTTGCACTGCATCGCGCCGCATAAACCTAAAACCATGTCTGCATTTGTGATCGGAGAAAAGACAAACAAGCACTACTCTGCTCAACTCGCGTTTTAATCGTCAGTGGCAAATTCTTTAAATATAAAAAACGTACTTACAGGCTGTGAGTCAGAAGCGCCAGACTGTCCTTGCAAAGTTGGAACTACCCCACTTTATAGAAACAGCCTTTGAGCAGAGATGCATTGTAGGCTACTGGTTCAGGAAACAGTCCTCCATAAAATGTGCTGCATACATCTGAATATTTGGGTTGAAGTGTTCTGGAACAGTGTTGTAA